CTTGGGTTCGGTTCCCGCTAAGGACGCATCCCTCGGTTGCAGTTTGTCCCGGGCCCTGGTTGGTCGTGCGGGTGAGCAGCCCACTCCATGTGTCCCTTTCACATCGATGTTTCTCTCTCTCTCTTCCTCTCACTCCCTCCTACTCTCACTGAACAAAAATGGAAAAATGTCCTCAGGTGAGGATAAAAAAAAAAAAAAAAAAGAATAAAGTTGAACAGCACTGATAAAAATATTTAGAGCCCTGAGCAGTGGTTAGAGCTTCAGCCCACGGATAGAAGAGTCCCAGGTTCAGTTCCCTTGAAGGGCACGTACCTTGGTTGCAGTTCATCACCGGCCTGCTTGGGGCCATGTGGGTGGCAACCATTTGATGCGTCTCTCTCACATTGATGTTTCTCTCTCTCGCTTCCCCCTTCTCTCCCTCCCACTCTGTCTGAAGATAAATGCAAAAAAAAGGTGTCCTCGGGTGTGGATAAAAAAAAATATTCAGAGATAATTCATAATTCTAAAATTCAAGTTAATTAGTCTGTAATTCATTATATACTCCCCAAACATTCTCTCTTCTATTATTTATTTTGTGAGTAGAATTAGAAAAGCATATTACTTGGATTCCTTAAGGGCTAAAAACATTTGTCTACCCTATGCAAGACAGCAGCAAGTCCAAAAGACAGTGTTTAATATTAAAAGGAGATAATATGATTTTAATGAAAAATTTTGATCTAAATAGTAGGGATAACTGACTATAAAGAACCAAATTAAAATTTACCAGAGAAATATTAAGTACCTTAAAAAGCTTCTTTGATAAAATTAATCCTTGACTTTTACTTCCGTGTTTAACACCTAAACACAAGGTATACCTATTCTTTTTTTTTTTTTTTAATCCTCACCCGAGGACATTTTTCCATTCTTTATTCAGACAGAGCGGGAGGTAGGGAGAGAGAGAGAAACATCAACGTGAAAGGAACATATCGAGTGGCTGCCACTGGCACAACGCAACCAGGGCCAGGGACAAACTGCAACTGAAGTACATGCCCCTAACAGGAACCGAACCCAGGTCTCTCTGGACCACAGGCTGACGCTCTAACCGCTGAGCCAAACCGGCCAGGGCAGTACCTACTCTTATCTAAGTTTTATATTGTCATATTGACAGGCTGCTCAAGGCAGGAAAACATGCTAGAAGACAATGGAAAAGCATACAATTTTATCACTTCTGAAATTTAAAATATCTAACAGTGAACAGTGATCTCAAGGACCAGGAGATATGTGTGTCAGTCTATACAGGGCTCAAGTCTATCTGCTGTCTGGGTCTTGTTTTTTAGAAATACAGCATCTCAGTCCTGGACAAACCAACTAAAAACTGTTCAAGCACATTATCATCATTCACATATTTATATATTAATCCAATCATTCCAACAGCTCTGTAAATGTTGATATTCCCATATAAATATAACAAAAATTCATCAACTTTTACTGAATTATACAGAGAACTAAGGCAATGCCATTGCCAGGCACTGTAACTAGGGGCCAGGAGTACATAAAAATTAAATAAATATGTAATATATATGTAAATTCTTTGTGCATGTGTGTGTGTGTGTGTGTATAAAATATGGTGGCTGCAGTTTATAAGCAAAGTGAAAATGCTTCTGCTTTAGCAATAGTATTTTTATTCTGTCAATAAATATTTACTGGGCATCTTGCCTTTACGTCTATGAGACATTCAGATTTGTAACCCACTGCAAAGTACATATTATCAGATTATAAATTAATTTAACATCATCTAGATCCCTGCTAGAGATAAACTGATTTGGGGAATTATTCTTGTAGTTATATGGATGGTAAACAGCCTTTGTCTAGATTTTAGATTTGTTTGTAAACTTATTTATTGACTATTTTAAGAGGTAACCCTCCAATACACCTCAATCAATACTGTATGAAACTTTAATAATTCATTTAAAACACATGTAAAAATTCCTACAATGGGCCTTTCTCCTCTAGAACCTTGTTTTATCATTCATTTCCCTCTTTGACTGTTTTTAATCTCCAACAATTCTATTCACAAGTCTCTTCTCTACAGTCCACAAACCCATTTAGTCTTTCCTATCTTTAAGATGGGTTACCACCAAATTTCTCCCCTTTTCACTCAAATAGTGGTTTATTCTCACTGTCTTCACTTTCTTACCATACATCTGTTCAGCCAACCACCATTCTGGTTGCTACCAATAGCCTTTTGATTACCAAAACCAAGAATGCATTTTCGTTAACCTTTCTATTGGTCAGTACTCTATTCTTAAAATCCTCTCTAATAGTGATGGCAAGATGTTTTTTTCTCTCCATCTTCCAAACCATTTCTTCTCTCTTTGCTAACAGATATGTCTGTTGAATCTCCAGCCCATATTTATCTTTTAAACCTAGATCCATATATATAAGTGCCTATATGATACATCTACTTATATGATCTAAAGAAATCACAAACTCAATACATCCAATATTTATTTTCCATCAGAATTTTGCTTCTTTTCCTTAGTGATCTATTTTGGATAACGGTAACACTACCAACCCAAGTCAGAAATATAGCAGTCATCTTAGGATCAGTCCTCCCTCTTCTTTATCTTCCAATATTCTGATTTTTAAATTTCTCCTTTCCATTAGGCCTTCATAATTTCTCAAGCAACAGGTCTCTCCTCCTTCAATTATGACCTTTCCAATGCCCTACACTGCTGATAAAATGAAAAATTCTAAAAGGCAAATCTAATCATATCATTCACTTGTTTAAAAAATCCTTGAATGAATAAACTACCCAAAATTCTGTACCCTGTACATACCCATTTCCTTAAGGAAAGGGTCCAGAGGGTTAAGAACCATTGGCAGATAGAAGAAACTCTACAAACTATCCTGTAAACCCTTTGAAACCTTTCAGAATCATCTCAAACCATATCCTCCCTCCCAGTCTATGTTCCAGCCAACCCCAAATACTTTAAGTTCTCAGATAGGGCTATGCTGCTTCAATTTTTCACACCACTGAACATAAGATTGCCTTTGCCTGGAAAGTCACTCCCCAGTGAACACATATTCATCCTTCAAGTGTTATTTCATCTATGAAATTCTCCCTGGTTCCTCTAAGCAACTGATTTCTCCTTCCTTTCACTTACTACATCTTGCCTATACCTTTAGGGTAGCATTTTTCATATTTGTTTTCATGGCTTTTTTTAATCCTCACCTGAGCATATGTTTTTATTGATTTTCATGTCTTTCTTAAAAGTTCATGAGGAAAAGACTATGTTTCATTCAGGTTTGTGTCCTAGTGCTTAGCACAGCACCTGTATATAATACATACTCAAATATTTGTTGAATAAACTTTCATTATACCATTAACAATGAATCTTTTCATAAAAAGTTCTGTGTAATAAGGTGTTCACACAAACGATAGTATTTCCTTAAAAAGCTTTAAAAAGGATATTGTTAAAAACTGTATCAGCTACAAACACTAATCAATTTACTGCTGTTTTGAAATGCTAAGAAAAAGGTTAAGTCTACATCTTTTAAAAAGACAAATAATATAAGCATAAAATATAAACTGCCTCTTTGTGTAAGTGAAAATTTAAATTATAAACTGCAATTCTCAATGAGATTAAATCTACTAGGAGGTATAAGACTTTCTTAACCATTATATTTGATTAACGTAATTAAATGTGATTTTTCTCCTGCATTTTAAAATTTTTATATAATCAGTTAATAATTTTCTTTATATTTAAATCTGAACCTAGGTTTACAGAACCCTATGTACATACATTTATGTGTCTTTTAAATAGATATTTTTGTGAAATCAGCACGATTTCAGTTTCCAGAAAACACCAAATGAAACTTTGGGGAAAAGGAAGGGTACTGGGTACAAGTAGGAAATCAGACCGCGTGCCCATTAGAGAATCTGAGTTTCTGTGTTACTTAAAAAAACATCCTGGGTAGGTTATCTAAAATAGAAAATCGAAAGTAATTACTCTTTACCAAATATAGGGTGCAAGAGTGAGATGTAAATTTTGCTCGCTGTAGAACAACTTGCCGCACACGCTGGACAGATGCCAGCTGCCTAATAATGCGAGCCTGGAAATCAGGACCAAGTGCGTCCAGGCCGTGAAGGCCGAGGGATACCGCAGTGCCGGCCGTGCTCACAACTCCTCCAAATAACTTGATCACAGTCAAGGTCGAAGTAGTAAGTCCCCTTCGATGTGAATGACTGAGTGTTCCCAGGAAAGCACTAAAAGCTGACTACAGGCTGTTGCTTGGAAATACTTAAACGTGATGGCGATTCCTAGCACGTTTAAGTGAATCGGACTGACAAGGTGCGTTCTGTTGAAAGACCTTTCCGCCCTCGCCCCACGTCTCCCGCTACCATCCCCGCCAGCTTTCTTGACCCAGTTTATTTTTATCCATTTTCAACTTGAAGCCAATCTTGAAAACAAATTGACAAGTGAGTGCTCGTCAAGTCAGTTCGACAAGGCACAACTGGCTTTCGGGGGAGCGGCCTCAAGTCGGCTCCGGAGGAGAAGCACGGGCCGGGCTTTTCCCAGGAGGCGCAGAGGCAGCGCCGGCGGGGGCGCCTCCCGCCGCCCGCCCGCCCGCCCGCCGGGTTTCGGTTAGACCTCAACAGGAAGTTTTCTCTTCCCTTGCGGGAAACAGGGAAACGCTTGCTCGGGGACACCCAGAGGTGAGCTTCAGTGTGCGAGGGAGGCGCCGCCCGGGACCCAGGCCGCCGAGAGTAGAGGTTCAACGCCGACCGCAGCGCTCCCCGCGCGGGCCCAGGCCGCGGCCTCTCGTGCCCTCCCCGCCCATTCCGCCCCGTCCCGGGGATGGCGGCGACTTCGGGGCGAGCCGCGCTGCGTCCCCACTCCCGAGGCTCCACGCCTCCTCACCGAGGGCGCCGGCCGGGGCGGAGCGGGAGCGGGAGCGGGAGCGGGTGCGGGCGTGGCGGCGCGAGTCCCGGCCTTGCCGGCGCGGGCTGCACTCACCCACTCGAGGATCTTGATGAAGCCGAGCGGCTCTTTGAGCGGGTTCAGGTTGAGCTGGAAGGAGGACATCCTCTGAGGGAAAGAGGGAGAGACTATCAGGACGGCGGGGCGGAGGAGGAGGGGGACCGACAAGACCAAGCAGTCCGGCGGCGAGGAAGGGCAGGCGGGCCGGGCGCCGGGAGGCGGGCCGGGAGGCCGCGGGGCGGGGCGGGGCGGGGCGGCGGCGGTTGAGCCGCTCCCCTAGACGCTGGGTCGGAGACTGACAGGAGCGGTGGCGATATGTGAGGGGTGGACAGGGGCTTGGAAGGGGAGGAGCCTTTCTGGGCCGCACCTGGCCGAGCCGGCTGATCCGCTGGTGAGCCATGTAGATGTTGGACGCCATGCTGTGTGCACCGCGCCCCCTTCCTTGTAGGCCAGCCCCCGCGGTCTGCCTCGTTCCGCGCTCCGGCTCCTCCCGCGCATGCGCGCGCCCCTCTCCGCGAGTGCGTAGCGAGGGACTCGGCCCTGCGTGAACTGTTCGAGTTCGTTGGGTTCCCACGTTGCAGAACCGCAACCATCTTCCACCCGCTCCTGTTCAGGGTGCCCAACTTTTTGATGAATTTATCAAATATTGATACAGAAAAAGCCGCATTTCAAGGCTGGTGTTAGAGGCCTTATACTGAAATGGTGGAGAGTTATTACACAACAACGGACTTTGGGCGACCATGATGTAGGTATCCCGGAGGCGTTATTCACCAAACATCCTTACGGAAACTAAGTTTATTGTCAGGGTTGGTATTGGAGTCAGCAGTTAAAGATGTAGGAGAAAGATTATACCTAATAGAAAACGGCTTGGACGACAGGCTCCTCCTGACCCACCTACTCACCTCTCCTACCTTGTTGTCATGTCCTCTGCTTGGGGCACTTTTGGTGTCTTTCTATAGAAAGCTCTTCCTGCTCCCTTTCAAGGTTCAGCTTAGGTGACACTTCCCTCCTGGCACCCAGTTATCGGAGGTCCAAGGTAGTGATCTCCTTACTGGCTTCCCCAATATCTTGGAAGTTCTTGGAGGGCTGGAATGGTGGCCTAATGGTCTATATAGATTGTAAGGTGGTTAACACCAAATAACAGTAAGGAAGAAAGGGATTTAACACAGTAGGAACCCAACCAGCTACCAAGTACTTGCTTATATATACTGATTTCCCAAACACTTATGCCACTATTCTCTTTAGTCCAGTTTTCTAAACTTTTACTCCCATTCTGTTGAGGCTTTTTGGGTGGGCACCTGAGTTGGATTGTGCATAGTAGTTCTACTTGGCTTGGGCTTCATATTCACAAAGATTCAAAGTAGGCTCTGATGTTATTTACAAATGAGTTATACAGGACAGATGGAAACAATGTTTTCTTTGCAAAATATACTGTAACTTAATAATCCAATTTGGGCATTTATCGATTTTTTTCACTTTTTTTTTAATCCTCACCTGAGGACATTTTTCCATTTTTTTGTTCAGGTAGAGTGGGAGGGAGAGAGAGGAAGAGAGAGAGAGAAACATCGATGTGAAAGGGACACATCGAGTGGCTGCTGAGTGGCTGCCACCCACACGACCACCCACACGACCACCCACACGACAGACTGCAACCGAGGTTCGAGCTCTCAGTGGGAACTGAACCCGGGTCTCTCTGGACCGCAGGCTGACACTCTAACCGCTGAGCCAAACTGGCCAGGGCTATTTTTTTCCCACTTTTTGAAAGTCTCAGAAATTGAAATTATTCAGGCTTTCTCAACTTCTAAGATTAACTTTCAGTTTCCTCTTTTCTGACTCCTTGCTTTCTCTCCTGCTTCTTGTTCACGCCAACCAGTGGAAAGTTGGTTGCTCTCTGAAATTCTTTAGTGCCGGAGTATACACCTTGAACTTTAAGAAGCTCTTTTCTTTGATTATGTGCCAGTAGTTTTTAAAAGATAGAGACCACTTACAATGAGCAGAAGAGTATCAGGTCACTTGTCAGAACTAAATTGTAGAATCTGACTCAGCAAAACAAAGCAGGAGGGAGCTCCAGCTGTTACCTTCAGTTACCTATATCCCAGCACTGCTTTTGCCAGTCAGCTGAGCTCAGAGGAGCTGGGTAGTGGCTGGCAGAGCAAATGAGATCCGATTAGGGAACCAGAGAAGCGTGAATTTTTTAAAAAAATTTGTTTTGAATTTATTGGGGTGACATTTGTTAATAAAATTATACAGGCTTCAAAGGTACAATTCTATACTACATCATCTATACATGTGTACCCAAAGTCAAACCTCCTTCCATTATCATTTATCCCCTCTTTACCTTCTACCTCACCCAACCTCCCTTTCCCTCTGGTAATCAACATACTGTTGTCTCAGTCTGTGAGGATTTTTTGTTGTTGTTGTTTAATCCTGTCACTTTTTTCACTCAGCCCTCGCAGATCTCCCACCTCTGATAGTTGTCAGTCTGTTCTCTGTATCAATGAGTCTGTTTCTATTTTGTTAGTTTATTTTGTTCATTAGATTCCACATATAAGTGAAATCATATGGCACTTGTCTTTCTCTCTCTAGCTTATTTCATTTAGCATAATACTCTCCAGGTCCATCCATGCTGTCCCAAAAAATAAGATTTCCTTCTTTTTTATGGCTGAGTATTCCACTGCATAAACGTACCACAGCTTTTTCATCTACTGATGGGCACTTAGGCTGTTTCCAGACTTTGACTATTGGAAATAACACTGCAATGAACAGAGGGGTGCATATATTTTTCCCAATTAGTGTTTCAGGTTTCTTTGGATATATGCCTAGAAATGGAATCATTGAATCATAAAGCAATCCTATTTTTATTTGTTTTGAGGAAACTCCAGTGGCTGCACCAATCTGCATTCCCACCAGCAGTGCACAAGGGTTCCCTTTTCTCCACATCCTCACTAACACTTGTTTGTTGATTTATTGATGGTAGCCATTCTGACAGTTGTGAGGTGATATCTCATTGTAGTTTTAATTTGCATTTCTCTGATGATTAGTGACATTGAGCATTATTTCATATATGTATTGGTCATCTGTATGGCCTCTTTGGAGAAGTGTCTATTCAGGTTCTTTGTCCATTTTTCAGTTGGCAATTTCCTTTTTTGGTTTTGAGTTGCGTAAGTTCTTCATAAGTTTTGGATATTAACCCCATATCAGATGTATCACTGGTGAATAGGTTCTTTCATTCAGTGGGTTGTATATTCATCTTGTTTATGGTTTCCTTTGCCGTACAAAAATTTTTTAGTTTTATGTAGACCCATTTGTTTATTTTTCTTTTGTCCCCCTTGCCTGAGGGGATATATCAGAAAAAATATTACTACAAAAAATGTCCAAGTTTTTATGGCTATGTTTTCTTCTTTAATTTTGTGGTTTCAAGTCTTTCATTTAAGTTTTTAATCCATTTTAAGTTTATTCTTGTGTATGGTGTAAGAAGGAGGTCTTTAATTTTTTTTTTTTGCACGTATCTGCCCAATTTTCCCAACACCATTTATTGAACAGACTGTCTTTACCCCACTGTATGTTCTTGCTTCCTTTATCAAATGTTAATTGACCGTGAAAGCATGGGTTTATTTCTGGGCTCTCCATTCTGATCCATTGATCTATATGTCTGCTTTTATGCCAGTACCATGCTCTTTTTTGTTGTTACTATAGACTTGTAGTATAGTCTTATATCTGGTAGCATTACTCCTCCAACTTTATCAAGATTGCTGTGGCTATTTGGGGTCTTTTGTGGTTCCATGTACATTTTGGAATATTTGTTCTAGTTCTGTGAAATACGCCATTGATATCTTGATAGGAATTGTGTTGAATCTATAGATTGTTTTAGGTAGTATAGACATTTTTTTTTGTTGTTGTTAATCCTCCCCTGAGGATATTTTTTTTCATAGATTTTTAGAGAAAGTGGAAGGGAGGGAGGTCAAGGGAGAGAGAGAGAAAGAGCGAGAGCAAGAGCGAGAGCGAGAGCGAGAGAGAGAGAGAGAGAGAGAAAAACATAGATGTGAGAGAGACACAGTGGTCAGTTATATCCCACACACACCCCATCCAGGGCTGGGGATCAAACCTGCAACCCAGGTATGTACCCTTGAGTGGGAATCAAACCAGTCTGGTCTGTGGCTCAGTGGTTGGATTGTTGAACTGTGCACTGAAGGGTGGGGGGTTCAATTCCTGGTCAAGGGCATGTGCCTGGGTTGTAGTTTTGATCCCTGGCCTTGGTCAGAGCATGGGAAGGAGGCAACCTAATAATGTGTCTCTCTCACATTGATGTTTCTTTCTCTTTCTCTCTCCCTCTCTCCCTCCATTCCACTCTCTGTAAACATCAGTGGAAAAAATATCCTCAGGTGAGGATTAACAACAAGAAAAAGATGTTATTTCTTCTTATCCATGAACACAGTATATGCATCCACTTATTTTTATCATCTTCAATTTCTTTCTTCAGTGTCTCATAATTTTCAAGTACAGATCTTTTATCACAGTTAAATTTATTCCTAGGTATTATAATATGTATATATATTTTATGTATTTGTAAATGGGATTGATTTCTTAGTTTACTTTTCTGATAGTTCATTATTAGTGTGTAAAAATGCAATCGATTTCTGGATATTTATTTTGTATCCTGCTACTTTGATGAATTCATTGATCAGTTCTAGTAATTTTTTTGGTGGAATCTTTGGGGTTCTCTATATACAGTATCATATCATCTGCAAATAATGACAGTTTTACTTATTCTTTTTCAATTTGGATGTATTTCTTCTTCTTGTCTGTTTGCTGTGGTTAGGATTTTCAGTACTATGTTGAATAAGAGTGGTGAATGTGAACATCCCTGTCTTGTTCGCAATCTTAAGGGAAATGCTTTTTGTTTTTGTCTGTTGATTATGTTACCTATGGGTTTGTCATATATGGCCTTAATTTGTTCCCTTTATTCCCACTTTGCTGACAGTTTTTATCATAAAAGGGTACTGGATTTTATCAAATGCTTGTATTGCATCTATTGAAATCATCATGTGATTTTTTATCTTTTATTTGTTTATGTGGTGTATCACATTTATTGATTTGCAGATATTGTACCAACCTTGCATCCC